TAAAGTATTCCATTTAATTTCCATGTCACAATATCAAGCTAAATTCAACATTTTGTTCATAATTTAATGTATTTGTTATATTTACAAAAAATACACGATTACTTCATTCAATAAATTCATGTCGTTTTTTTAAATTATAAATTAAATATAAACAAAAATTCTTCGGTCGCAACAATATTATCATCTTCTCTACACTTAATTATTCCATGCAACGTTCACAAACACTATACACATTACTTTCATGATCTTCATGTTTAAAATATTTCAGAATTTAAAAAAAAAAACAACATAAATAAATAACAACAAAAAAATTGTAAAACTGTTAGTTTTTCGGTTTAGCACAAATGCGAGTATTATTTTAAAATCAATATATTGCAAGCTAAATTATCAATTATTAATAACATTCAATAATAATACAACAATTGGTAACAACAAAAACAAATGAAATAACATAAAAATATGTATAAAGTTTGAAAGTTTTAAATGGATTCTTCCAAAAACACTTTGAAAATTGTGGGAAACCCTGTTGTTCACATAATTTTCTTGAAATCCTGAAATTTTTACAGAACACCTTTAACAAATCATCGTTCAATTGTTAAATTGTAGTTAAGAGCTTCTTCTTCGGAAATGGAAAAGTATTAAACTTTAAAAAAAATAATTCTTACATATGAAACGTTGATTTATTGCAGAAATTTTGATATAATAATAGTAAGATAAAATTGATAAATACCATAGTTGTGAGTTTTTTTTCTTCAAACTGAAAAAGTATTCAACTTTTTGAAATTTTTCTCTTTGCATTTTCACTTTTGACTTTAAATTACAGGAAATCGGCAAAAGTTACAAATATGATATATGACACGTTGGAAAGTCGAAATATTTAGCTTTAATTTGCGTACTTATTCATTATTGTACCGTAAGAAATAAGAGAAAATTGATGATTTTTGAAGACATTCGATTATAAACACATTTTTCTAATTGAAAATAGCGGTTCCGTTCGGGTGGTTAGTGCTATAGAGGGTGTATTGGGAATCGTCAAATAGCTCCTATCCGTGAGATGCGTCTCCGAAATCATCATCACATCCACCATCTGATTGGCGAGGAAAGCGTTTAGCTCGTCGTTGTGTTGAGCTAAACCGTTGGCGTTCCACAGGACCAGGCGAATTGATTGAGTCATTAGGTCAACTTCGACACGAGAGCCAACACGACATTGAGTAGCGTGTCGATTTTATCAAATAATTTGGCTATCGTCAGCTCCAGCCGTGCTACAGCGTCTAGTTGTGGTCCTACTTGCTCTTCGCTTATGGGTTGCGTGTTTTTGTGGTTTGCTCTGTCTCTGGCCGCGTCAGCGTAGGAAAAGCCTGATTTTATCCTCGGGTATTCTTTCTGTTGGGACTGTTGAGGCTGAGAAAAAATTACCACCAACCAGTGCGCCGGTTAGTGGTAATTTTTTCTCCCTCGGTCTCGGGAATTTCCTACTCTGCATTTCCTTGTACACTGTACAGCCCTTGTAGTTGGCAGTTTGCCGCTGCACTTTTCCTTCCTACACTCCTCGGTGAGGTGGTTCTGGCCGCACTTTACGTAGCGCGGCTTCAGAATGCAGTAAATCATTAACATCTACTTGAAACTTTAAAATTTCACATAATTTTCTAACCATTTCTTCACCTTCTAGCCATGGCGACACCTTATTATCTAATGACCATTGTTCTTATTCTTATCCTCTTCCGTATTTATAAGACTAGCCGATAAAAGTTTTCCTTTCATATTCTTTGCCACACTATCTAATAATTGCGCGATGTGCATATCTTGCATAAACATACTATTAAAATGGCTTATTTTTTTGTTTTAGGGTTTATTTAACAAGAGGCTCGCCGAGTTTAAAATTTTTTAACAACCAACCAGCCCACCCATGTTTACAATAAATCAAACATCGAAGTAATTTAAATATCTTTATTGTTTTGCAATTGTTGTCAATTTGATTAAAACTGCTTATTCGTATATTACGAACATAAAAAATATACATATATTTACACAATAATTTATAATTTAAGAGGATTCATCGGTTTCTACGCGTAAAGTGTTCCTGAAAATGTATTTACAAGGGTATTCTTTGTTGAGGTAATACTTTTGTTTTGTCAGTTCCTATTTATACAAATCGTATAGTATTTCATATCATCTAACGAATCATTTGGCAGGTATTTGTAATAAAATCAGCGATGGGAATATTACAAGTATCATCAATTGTGGCCGCGAGATCATCCAGAGATGCATATGGAATTTCTTCACTAGTACATGCTGGGGCTGTGTTCTCTCTGTATGTCCTTGTTGATTAATGTTTTCATACATGTTTGCAGTGTTCGCATAACTATCTAAAGAGTATTGTCCTTGAATGTTATGGATGTCATGAACATCATGTTGAACGTTGTGTTCAATTGAGGATGTCGTCATTTGTACTTTCGGCATTTGATAATTGTAGCTCATTTGAATGGGACTTGCAAGATTGGGATTTGATATTTGTTGCTCTTGCTGCAGTTGCTGTTGTTGAAAGTGCTGTCGTTGTTGCTGTTGCTGCTGTAGCTGTTGTTGTTGTAGCTGTTGTTGTTGTAGCTGTTGTTGCTGTAGCTGTTGTTGCTGCAGTTGTTGCTGTAGCTGTTGTTGCTGCAGTTGTTGATGTAGTTTATGTTGTTTCATCTGTTGTCGCAGTTTCTGTTGTTGTTGCTGCAGCTGTTGTTTCAGCTTTTGTTGTTGCTGCTGTTGCTGTTGTTGTTGTTGCTGCAGCTTATGTTGTTGTTGCTGCTGTTGCAGCTTTTCAAAGTATTGTTTTTGTAACATCGCGTTTTGATTTTCCACTTGGTACTGATAATTTCTGTTTGGATTGAATTGCTGATGAAGATGATAATTCGGAGTATTCATTTGTGTACCCAAAGTCGTTTGATTATTACAATTATTAATCTCGTTGAAAACTGGAGCTTCCTGTATAGGTGAATGCACTTGCACGTTTGGAATCACAGGATTTTCAATAACTTTATCCGCTGGTTTTTGGACCGTTACGGATGGATCTACGACCCTAAAATTTTTACACACGATAAACTTGATTTCATCGGTGAAGGGATTAATGTAGGACTCTCCATCGCAGTGAACCATAGCGTATTGCCCGATGATACCTAGCACACGATAAGAGGTCGAAAATTCTTTACCTTTGTTCTGTAAAAGTTGCTGAAAATAATTCAGGAACTTCTGCTTGTCGAAAGGATGGACGAACTTCAAAAAGTTAAGCCCAACTATTCTGTCCGTATTGTATCCCAGGTCGTTCAGCAAATTTCCGGTTACATTCGTAATGACTCCATTTACATTGAGAACTGTTTCAAATGAATCTTGAATGGAATGCTCCCTCTCATTTGTCTCTACAGGTATTATTTTTCCGAAAACTATTAGCTGATCGTTTGGCTGCTTCTCGGTGTTGTTGTTCAGAATGTATCCGTTGCAGTTGACGATGGAATATCCGAAATTAGAAGTTTTTATGCGACACTTGAAGTTCCGTTTGGAGCGGATCGCGTCTCTGTACTGCGGTACGCTGTCCTCCCTCCTCACAGTCCCTGTTTTCAAATCCAAAAAATGGTTCTTGGAATCTGGAAGTAACTGCTCTCTAAGGACTTCGTGGTCCTCGGTATGAACAAGATTGAATATATTGGTACCAATCCAAGCTTCGTTCTGCATGAACGTTTGATCGCCCTGCGTATATCTGAAGATTATCCCTGTGGTACAGTCAATGGCAAGCACAAATCCGTTGGTCACTTCAAAAACGACCGAATTGAATTCCTTCTTTGTAAGGAAGAAGTCTTTGAAGTCCTTCTGCGAGTACTCACGCATAAGGTCTGAAGCGCACTGCAGCACGTTCACTCTTTCCGGCCTTCTTATCATCACTTTCTTATTCTTCACGAAGTCTGCCAGTTCGTTTATGAATACAGCCATTTTATTTCTACGACGTCTTTCGACTTCATTGTGGCTTTCGCGTTTCTCCTTAGAGTTGCCTTCGTCGGGGCTGTACTCCTGTATGTCCGTACTCATCGCGATCTTTGGATGCACTGCGATTAGGAATCTGATAATATGAGCGCTACCTACCTAGCGCTATTTTATAGCAGAAGAAGAAAAAACTATTTTTACCTGATCAATAAAACTTACAAATTCTAAAGAATACTTTAGTAAAACCACCGATTCCATTTAATTTCACCGGTGTCATGTAAATGGGAAAGGTAAGGGAAAGAAAGATCAAGCTAAATTCAGCATTTTGTTCATAATTTAATGTATTTGTAAAAAAAATACACGATTACTTCATTCAATAAATTCATGTCGTTTTTTTTAAAATTATAAATTAAATATAAACAAAAATTCTTTGGTCGCAACAATATTATCATCTTCTCTACACTTAATTATTCCATGCAGCGTTCGCAAACACTATACACATTACTTTCATGATCTTCATGTTTAAAATATTTCAAAATTAAAAAAAAAACTCAACATAAATAAATAACAACAAAAAATTGTAAAACTGTTAGTTTTTCGGTTTAGCACAAATGCGAGTATTATATTAAAATCAATATATTGCAAGCTAAATTATCAATTATTAATAACATTCAATAATAATACAACAATTGGTAACAACGAAAACAAATGAAATGACATAAAAATATGTAAAAAGTTTGAAAGTTTTAAATGGATTCTTCCAAAAACACTTTGAAAATTCAGGGAAATCCTGTTGTTCCCAAAATTTTTACAGAACACCTTTAACAAATCATCGTTAAATAATAGTTAAATTGTACTTAAGAGCTTCTTCTTCGGAAATCGAAAAGTATTAAACTTTAAAAAAAAATTCTTACATATGAAACGTTGATTTATTGCAGAAATTTTGATATAATAGTAATAAGATAAAATTGATAAATAGCATAGTTATAAGTTTTTTTTTCTTCAAACTGGAAAAGTATTCAACTTTTTGAAAATTTTCTCTTTCATTTTCAAGTTTGACTTTAAATTACACGAAATCGGCAATAGTTGCAAATATGATAGATGTTACGTTGAAAAGTCCAAATATTTAGTTTTAATTTGCTTGTTTATTCATTATTGTGCCGTGTATAATTATTAGAAAATTGATGATTTTTGAAGACATTCGATTATAAACACATTTTTTAAATTGAAAATAATACAGCTACGCATCATCAAATGGCGCTGATAAGAAATAATTAAACGCTCATAACTCTTTAATTAATCAATCACTAAAATGGTCATAGCATTACACAACAGTAATGAATCTTTATCTTTCAGCGAATACAAATCATTAGTTATACCGCTAATTAAGAATCTATGATTTGTGCAGCGCCAAAACAGCTGAACTATAAACTTACCGAGATGACTATAATCTAAGATGATGCTTGTTCGCGCTATCTACAAGTGATCACTGCAAGATTGTAGTTCAGCTGTTTTGGCGCTCCTGCAATTTTGAAATTGCAATTAGGGCCTTAATTGTAAATGAAATTTAGGTAAAATGCGCGATGTTAATTACATAATAAATTATATATATATCTTTTAAATTGTATTATTATTATTTTACATTGTAACGTTATTAAATGAGTTTTCTTTATCCTAAGAATGTGATATAATTATCTTCACCGGTTCTCCACTAAAAACTAAACCGGTTCACTAAAAACTAAGTACATAGAAAAAATCGTTTACGTAAAAAAATACAAGGGTGGCGCCCTTCTGACACAACAATAAAAATATGCATAAAAGTTACATATGTCTCGAGGTAAAGTAAAGAGGTATTTCATCAAAACACGAAAAGTACTCAACTCTTTGAAATTTTTCTTTTTTCAAAATACAGTTGATTGTTTTTAAAATATATTTATTTCAAGAAAAACTCTGTACAAGACATTCTTTAACCTTCTTAACGAAATTCTTCTCTTTTTGGCTGCAACATTTATTGATCAATTTTTTAGTAGCATTGTACAAAATATTCCATTGCATTTTGTCCAAATGTCTGAAATCTGACTTCTTAATATTAATATTGCACATTTTATTTTGCAATTTGATATACAATCTCAATTCGTCAATCGAATTAAATGCCATAATTTTATTGGTGAAAATATTGTCTTTATAAACCAATTTCTGTTTACTTTTCACATTTCCAACTGTGCTTGTCTTCTTTACATTTGATTTTCTGCATTCAATTGCATCTCCTACATCTTTATTAGCTTGTAACAGTTCTAAAGGCATTTGTTCCAACACTGCATCATTGTGTTTCTTCATCTCATCAAGAAGTTGTGTGCTGTTTTCTTGCAGCTGCAATGCTGTTCCGTCGATAGGTTTCAAAATAACGTCTTCATTCAACCACGTCGCATCAACGAAATTGTTTAAATCATTTGGAAATTCGTAATCCTCTGTTAACCATTGGACATCAGTATTTTGAAAATGTCGACGAAGTTCAATCAGATCATTGTATAATTGGCAGGTGAGTTTTAGGAGATGTTTCATTATTGCAAAGATTCTTGCGCTGATGCCGAAGAAAAGTAGAAGCATTTGCCACAGGTGACCGATCGTCAGGTACTCGTTTATTGTTGCAGCAGCATCCAAGGCACATTCGCCAATCCGACAAAACAGCTTTGCCACACCTTGCAGTTTAACTAGCAGATGATCCAGCATATTTCTGCTTGGAAAATACGTTTGAGTTTCATACTGCTTCGGCATTGTTGCTACAAAATCTGATAAATCCTTTTGAAAATCATACTGCAAATACCTCAATAGACCCTGGTTTACCTTCTCCAAGCCACGAACGAATTTGAACATTCGATACTTCGTTTTCACTAAATATAAACACCTGGACAGTAGGGCTGCCTCCATCTCCAAATGCTTCTGCGATTTGTAAACAACCTCTGCATTATTCAAATTGATTGATAACTTTGTCAAATCTGGAAATTGTTCTATTAGATATACTGCTTTATAAAATTTAATTTTTAACTTACCCAAGCTTCGTCTTTCCTCTAAATACGTACAAATCGGGGGTGCCTTTAAATCTCTCTTATTCCATAAATTCATCGTTTCTGATTATAGGTTATGTTTTGATCCTTCACCTTTGACAGAAGTTTTGGTTATAGGACCAAAATCTGACAGTTACTGTTGGACTCTGGTGTTATTCTTGAGGGTTATGTAGTGCCTTGTTATGTCACATTTCAATATTTTCGAAATGTCTTTGAGACTTAAACCGCTGCGTTTCCTTCAACAGACCAACGCACTCCACAAGGTACGTTACGTAATTGATTAGGCAATCGATTTAGCTGGGTGGCCCATTCATTGATCTCAATGTTATCATAAAATTATGCTTGCAAACAGGTTTGTAAGTGTGGAACAGCAACCAGCAGTTCCAGAGCGTCAGAGGCTATCTTCTTGGAGAAGACATTGGAGGATCCCATAATCGCTGTCACCGATAGAGACAATGTGGACATGATAGGGCCTCCGGATCCGGTTTCCAATTTGAGACCCATCGTGAGAAAAATATGCAGCAACGAGACTACCTTGCAAGAGAAGCTAAGGTTGATGCAGAATGAGACGCATAATTGGAACCAGACATTCTGGGCGGACCACAACACGAGGTTCATCAAAGTAAATTAATTAATTAAACTTGGTAATATATAGAATTTTATTAAATATTATTCTTTTAGCAAAAGAAGGATTATATTCAGAAGAAACAAGAGGAGATGAATGAAACGAGGGCATTAACTGCAGATGAACTAAGTGAATTTTACAAGGAATTCCTTGATAGCAATTGGAACATGCACGTGAATTACAATTTGCAATGGTACAAGCGTAATTTCACGTTGATGTTCCTTGCGCTCAGAGCTAGTCTACCACAAGGATTTCATTAGTAAAGTAAGTTTGATTCGATAGCTTTTTTTTAAATCACTTGGCAACTCGTTCTTTTGTTTTGCGTTTGATAAATGACGATCGGTTCGAAGATGGTCGTGATCGCGTTTATTAGTTTCCTCTTGATTATCGGCGTTCGTTCAGAATTCGTGAATACTTTTGTGGATAGGAGAGTTAATTTGGAAACGCAGCTGATTAGAGTGTGGACGACGGTGAGATTCATCCGGCACGGTTCGGAAAGTGAGAATATTTACGAATATTTGATCGACGATTATGAAGCCCAACATTACGTCAGATTCACGGACAGGGATGGCTCGATTTTGGATCATAAATTAATGAATGATGAAACTGTGCACGTTAATCTAAGTAACGAACAAGATTTGTTTCACGTCGAGGAAGTTTTTTGGAATTGCATTGTCGTTCTCCAAAAAAGAAAACCGTTTAGAAAACCGGATTATATAAGATACATTGGGAATATTTACTATTATTCGCGATACACGACGTTGCGGTACAACGTGAAGTACGTGATCGATACTCATTATTACGTGAATATCGAGCCGCACGTTGTCAACAATTACACTTCTGAATATAAGTTTACTAATCCGTTGGCGGCGCTTTCGAAGAAACGTATTGAATTTGAGATCATCACCAGTAAACCTTTGATCCATGTGATCAGCTTGGAGCGGATCATTGATGTGTCGCATTATGGAAGAATTTCGATTCATGAACGTGTTGTTTTACAAAATAATGGTCTTGATTTATATAGATTTTTTGTAAGATTTGAGTGTTAATTTCTTTGATTTCGTTTGATTTTAGGTGCTAAAGTAATCGGGTCATATAAGCCAACTGCGAAGGAATGGTTTTACACGTTTCTGCCATCATCGGCGGAGGATGTGCATCTCTATGATACTCTAGGCGTGCGGTACAATTGGAAATTCGTCCCCAATGAGAACTACACCAGCATCGAATTTCGGTCCAGGTTCCCTCTATTAGGCGGTTGGAAGTATAGCTATGATTTGTCATACACTGTTCCTTCTTACGAGTATTTGTACGTTACCGACGAAGCGCGCTATCTGCTGAAGATGAGGGTCTTCGACCATGTACTTAACGATGCAATCATCGATTCATTTGTGACCAAGGTTATTTTACCGGAGAATTCGGTGAATTACGATGTTTTGAAACCCGACGGATTTCCGAGCGATATCAGCGAAGAAACTACAATCACAACGCTGAGCTGTTTCGGTAGGAAGACTGTAGTCATCGCAGGCGGTAGTGTTATAGAGAATCATATCGACGATTTCATCATAGAGTATTCGATTGGTTGGATCAACATGCTGAGAGTTCCTTTAAAATTATCTTTATGGCTTTACATTGCCTTCATCTGTATTATTTTTACCATTCGATTTTCAGCATGGATTTCTTTGAAGTGACTTCTGTGACCCCTTTTGTTCCTAGTCTACTGAATTAAATTAAATAAATACCTCTGAACTTTTTTCTTGTCTCTAATTTACTTTCCTTGATAATTAGTGGAATTGTGCGAGTGGGATAGGATCGAAAATTGATCAATTAGTCGTTATTATTTTAAAAAATAATCATGTTTCTGCATTTTTAACATTTTAAAATATTACAATAAAAACATTAATTTTAAAAGAAAAAATAAATAATTTGAAAACATATAATCAAATAACATCTATTAAGTATAGTAATCGAATGTATAGGAAATGAGGCTCTAACTTATTGTTTTTTTTTAGGATTTTAGCCTTATAAAATCGATTATGATTCATCTATATATGTGTATACTGTAAATACTTATTACTTAATTCTTTATATTCTTCGCCTTCTTGGCTTTTATCCGGTCGACTTTCGCCTTCAGTCCATTATCGCGCTTCTTAATTGTAACGTGCTCTGCATGCCTCTCGTCCTTTTTCCTTTTCAGTTCGTTAATTCTGAAAAAAAAAAAGATTCAACATGAAATGCATCTGAGAGAAGAATAACGATTAAGTTTACTTTTCTTTTTCCAATCTGATCATTTCCTTCTTCCAAATCTCCTTGAAATCGGAACAGAATTGCAGCCACAGCTCGAAAAAGTCGTTCGGCGGAAACGTTTCCAACGTCCCACTTTTCGGCTGGAACTGATAGAATCTCATCGTCCGGATAAAAATTTGTTTACACTCTTCGAGATCCTCTCCCTCGGCTGCCAACCGTTTCTTGGCGTTCTCCAAAAACGTGTTCATCTTCTCCTTGAACGGTTCCAGATTTTCCGGCGTCGCCGCATCGATCACCTCCACCGTTCGATTTACGCAACCTGAAATCAGACATTCAATCGTTACTTCTTTCTAGATTTTTATTTGCAATTTTTCAGCCAAACCGTTTAGTTTCTTTTGCAAATTGTTCAGAGTTCCGTGGAGGTCATCGAAGTTGACGGACGCCGCACCGCTGATGTCGCTAAGCTTCGGAACCGGCAGATTGTTGACGTTGGAAAGAGGATTCTCCAATTTCTTCACGCATAGTCTGACTATGTAGTGGAGAAGAGTCGTCTGGGAATCCTTCGATTTTACGTCCTTGAGCTTCGCCAGGATTTCTAATCCGAAACCGTCCGCTTGGCCGCGCGACATGTTTCCTCCGTTCATATAATTCCCCAATGTTAATATGATAGCCATCACCTCTTTTAAGCTTTCGTTCGTTGTCAGAAACTGCAATTATTACATGATTTTATGATTTCTATACAAGAGAATCTCTATATCTTACTTTGCATGTGTTCTTGATGTTTGATAAAGTAACTTCGATGGCAGCTAGTGATTCGTCGAATTCAGTGATGAACATGAAGCAAGAAATGCGTTCAGCAAAATTGGAAATCTCAGCAAGATCGTACAAAAATTGCTCGGGTTTGTCTAAAGCGAGTTCTGGTTTATCCTGGACGTGGCTCTTAATTAGTTCCAGTTCTTCGCCGCTGGCCCTCTGAAATCAAAACAACTGTAAAAAAAAAACTGCAATTGCTTCGTTTCAAGCAAACTCACAGCCTCGTAAATCTGCTGCAAAGCCTCCAAACTGACGACTGATGTATCAAAGTTGTAGATGGCCGCTTCGATCTCGTGGATTTCCACGTGCAAACTCTGCGCCAATATACCGACGTTCTGGGATCTCTTGCTGTCCAATAACTTTATCGCTTCCGCTTTAGGTTTAGCTTCGACCTTTTTCTTTGTGGGCTTCGAGGTCACCACTTGCCTGGAGAAGAGGTCGGTGAATTCCGTCAGGTTGTCCAGAGTCACCTCGTCCAAATGCAACCACAAGGGTTGCGCATCTCCCGTCGGGGAATCGGTGGAATCCACGGCTGGATTGTTCATCGCCGCTCGTTGCCTCACCAGAATGCGGGTCCAGTAAAGCGGTTTCATGGGTGCCACAGGATTCACGGGACTTTTCCTTATAGCTGAAATCCGATAACGAATCTTTATTTACTTTTGATGTTAGAAAAAAAACATGGTCTGAGATTGCGATTTTAACAATTAAGCGGAAAAGAAAATAATAAAGTGTTTTTCTCACCTGAAAACGTGGGTGGTGGTGGACCCGCTAAAAACAAGGTAAGGAGGAATAGTGCATTCAACTACAACTGAACAGTAACGAATAAAAAGTAAATAAAGTAAAGTAAAAACAAACAAAAATAAATGCATTTAAAACACTTATTTAAAAACGTCATCTCGGGGATTGGAAGTAATTTATTAAAAGTTAATATTTTAACTCTGTTTGATTGTTTTTATCATGCAAATAATTTATAATATTCTAGTAGAAATGATTATGATTTTCTTGGTATTTAGTGAATGATTCATTCCTCTAGTGACTATTTTGTAGACAAATAATGATGGTTTTTTTGTTTGTAATAGGCCGGGGTTGACAATGACTCGATTTGTACTCAATTGCAATTTATGTTTGGAGCATTAATTTTAGTTTTATGTAGCCAACCCTGGCTGAGGTTTAGGTGACATTTTCAGTGAGATTTAATGGATCACTTACATGCTTTGTTCGCGTTCCATCCTCCAACTGGTGGCGTTGGAAAAGGTGATGGACCACCCATTGGAGGTGGCGGCGGAGGTCCTCCCATTCCTGGTGGAGGTGGCGGTGGAGGAGGGCCGCCCATACCTGGAGGAGGCGGCGGCGGAGGTGGTCCACACATTCCTGGAGGCGGCGGAGGAGGAGGTGGTCCACCCATGCCAGGTAGTGGTGGTGGAGGAGGAGGACCACCCATGCCAGGTAGTGGTGGTGGAGGAGGAGGACCACCCATGCCTGGTAGTGGTGGTGGAGGAGGAGGACATGGACCTAAACCTAACATAGGTGGTGGTGGTGGTATAGGAATACCTGCACCTGGCATAGGAGGTGGAGGTGGACAAGTGAAACTAGGCATCGGAGGAGGAATAGGAGCTTCAATTTCTGTCGTCGGATAAGATGTTGCTGGCATTGGAGGTGGCGGAGGAGCTGTAGTAATATTTACAGAGACCGGAGCAACTGCTATATCTTGAGAGAGCCGTGTAGAAGAACTCGGCACCGTAGGAGCAGCGATTAAATTATTTAATCCATTAACTTGCACCGAATCTCCAATAACACCGTCGCCACTTTGTCTTTCGCTGAGCCTCATCGTCCATCCGCACTGTTTGCACACAGCCTTTCCATCATCATTATCACTAACATCTAACTTATTATTATCATCATCGTCACTGGTCCCAATACTTTTATCACAGCCATTCTTTTTCCTATCAGTTTGCTCCTCCGGCGAAGCAAAATCCTCGACGGCGTTCGTCGTCAATGTCTGGATGTCGATGAGCGTTTTGTACTTCTCGTTCTCCTGCTTCAGCTTCTCAATTTGCGATTGAAGATCCTCAAACATCGACTCTTTGTTGGAGATGTTATTAGCATCAGAAGCGCTCGGAGATTGAGGAGATGCGGACTTTGAGGATTCCAGGGAATCCGTGTACGTCGGAGGCCACGAGTACTGGCTCAGTTTACCTGGTGTATCCGCAATCGGGGCCGGCGCCTCGGAGTGTGCCCAATAATACATTAAATCCGGCTAAAACTGATGATGAGTATTTCCAAGATACACACATTAAAAACTATTAACTATTTACCTTGAATATATTGTACATCGGAAGATTATTGTCGGAGATCTGCCTGAGGACGCCGGCCGCTAAGAGATGAGTGCAGAATTGAATGGCCAGCAGCTTCAGATCCTGAGGATTGTTGATTAGACACAGGTACTCGTCTTCTCGAAACTCAGAGATATACCAGTTGATCAGCATGTGGCCTTAAAAACAATGAACGACATCAGGTAAAACCGAACGAATCCTTCCCTCTACCATCAACCCTTGCTGACTCATGATTATTGCTCATCTTCGATAATTAACACTTATTAATTTATATATTATTGTTTGTTACAAAAAAGATAGCGCATGCAAATCGTCAGTTAGTCACGAGGCCATTGTTCGCGCCTCGAAAGCCCGTCGCAGATTGCAGACTTCGCTGCTTCAAAATACAATTTTACTCCTGTTATTTTACTTTTTTTTTTTCTCTTCTTGCCTTCTTCCTGCAAGGATTCATGCCCGGCTGCTCTTGTTATTCATTAGAATCAAACAGCCATGTCCACAGCGGCGCAGCTCTCGACGTACGTAAAACTTTCCCAAACGTGATGATCTCCAAAAAAAAATAAATAAGAAGAAACATATCCATCTTGCACATTGCCTCTTGCAAATTGGAAACAATTAAAACCGGGAAACAGAAACCTCGCGCGCGCTCGCTTGAATTACGTAATGCTGATTACCATGCGAGGCTCTAATTGAAACTTATTCCATTTTCGGTCCATTATTAATAGTTTTCAGTGTGGAAAATTATAACGCTTCTGCTGCTGAAGAGGCTGAAACGTCCGCGCGTTTGTTAATTCATTAATTACAATGCCACAAACATTTGTTGTTGCTGTTTGCTTGCTGTTGTTGTTATTGTTGCCACCGCGCCGCTGTCTCCGAATGACTAATTTCAATTTGGAAATGTTATAATTGCCGACCTTATTTCCATTATTAATTAAAACTACCCCGAATTTCATGCATTCTACAAACTCTGTTTTTATATTTAAATACACATACATTACAAGATTCAATTACGAAACACTTATTAATTCTAAGTACAAATAGAAAAAGTTATTTTATAACTCAATATTCGCTAATTAATATAATTTTAAGTTAATTAACATTTACAACATTTTTGATTGATGGTGATGTATATTAATATACATAGTTTGAACACGAACTTCAGCACTTAAATTAATGAATCTGCAATATTTTTATAATAAGAATTTCTATTATTAACTTCCAGTTCCAAAATCTGAAATATCACATAAATTTTATGTGTTTTTTTTTAATTGCATTGATGATAATTAATTAATTTAATATGTAAAATGTGTATTGAATGAACATCGTTTGAACACGAACTTTAGCACTTAAATTAATGAATCTGCAATATTTTTATAATAAGAATTTCTATTATTAACTTCCAGTTCAAAAATCTGAAATATCAGATAAATTTTTTGTGTTTTTTTTTAATTACATTGATGATAATTAATTAAATGAATATGTAAAATGTGTATTGAATGAAATTATTTTACCTTTGCTTTGCTTTGTAGAAAACTTTCACTGTTTGTTAAATAAACGAATTGATTCAGTCGTAAAGGAAATTGTAAATGTAAGAAAAGTAACCGTCTCGCCTTAACGGAAAGATGAGCTCACTGTACGAATCGAATAAACACACAAAAAAAAACTATATGTAGACGACCCATGTTGATATTTTCCAGTTCCAATTCTCATGTAAATAGTATTTTGTAATGAGCATGAAGTCATGAAATACTAATCCAAAGATGCGTTGCGCAAACATTTGTAAACCGACGGGAAAAAAAAAACATAACAGACACAAATACACATGATGATAATGACTTCCCGATAATTGGAACAGCAAACGCGAGTTTCGCGTTCCCGAAAATTTCGTAACGCCCACCAAATTTGTATTTACCAAAAAAAGAAGTGTTAATTGAATGAAGATAACTTCAGTTGGATTGTAATAATAATAATAATTAAGATGTTGTGTTACCTTCGAAGACTTCGTATAGTTGAAAGTCTAGCTTTTCCGGGACGAATCTGGGCCTGGTGACCTTCGACTCGGTGCTGACGAGCGTCAGGGATGCCACCTTCTTGAGCACCTCTGTGCCTGCCAATTTCGTCGTTTCCTGTGAGGGCATCCCCGAGGACACCGACATGTGTCTCTTGATCTCATGACGACCTGCGCTCATCCGAAAACAAAGTTTAGATTATATTTTCTACAATTGCCCTCTCTGTCTCCTCTCGCTTATCTCGTTTTCTATTGTGTTTGCTAAACTTTTTACTTAATTCCTCCGGCGCAACAACAGTACACCCAGGCGACTCGATTACGTAACGTGCATATCATAATCGAGTCGCAAGCCGAAAAACATTTGCAATTTAAATGCGTGTGCAAGAGAATTATCGTTGCGCAACAGCGACTACCTTCTTCTTTCTTCTGCTAATTATTGCACGCCATTATATAAACGATTACACCAGTGCATGTAATGAATGCACCTAGTCGGGATCAACGCTCTCGAAATTAGTCATTTGCATGTGGACAAAGAAAACAGCTACCTGATTAATAAACGTGTAGGAGGTATATTGTTTCATACAAAAAAAATATATATATATATAAATATAAGTCTTAATTATCTGATTGTACAAGAAAGCTTCTGCGCGTTCAATTTCATTTGCAAATCCATCAGTTGTCCCATGAAGCTGAAATTCGGACAAACGATCGGTCTCAGGTTCTTCACGAAAGCGAACGCGTCCGTCATTCTGGTTCCGTTCCGAATCATCAGGTAGGCTATGATTATCGTCGGACTTCTCGAGACACCGGCTTGACAATGCACCAATACCCTTTGACCCATCTCCTTAGCTTCTTCGATGAATTCAAAAGACTCGTCAAAGTATTGCGTTAAATCTTGATCGGCATCATCGAAAACGGAGAACCGTTTCCAAATTATACCGTCGCAGCCTTCGTTTTCGCTACGACGTGAGCTCACGTTCAAAACGTGAGTTATGTCTAAGCTCTTCAACAGTTGCAGATCGGAAGCGTCCCGTGCATTTCCCAAATACAAATACGGTAGAATCTGCGATACATCTTGACTTTCCATCTTCTCCTTCAGCGCATCATCGTCGGAGATCAATTTGCCAGATGGCATCAGCAATTTCAGACAGCTTTTGCCCATTTTTATCGTTGAGTAAATATTACAAAGGGATGCTTGCGCAATGAACTTAGATCATTAGCTAATCTCTTAGTAATCTCTTTGAGTAATTTCTTAATTTAGATTTAATATTCGTTATTGCACTAGATAGAACAATAGAAATCCGGATATTACACCCGCTATTTTCGAATTTACACTGAACTGTTTTTATCCGAAGAATGCTATTCTTCTTATCAACGAACAGTTACCTTTTTTTTCAACGAACACAACAATTTATCGCTGAATGTTTTTAGTTTTTCAACACCGGTTTTTACATATATTTTTATTTCTGCACAGAAATAACACAAAATATTTGTAAGGAAAACTGAGGAAATACCAAATATACAATTTAATTATATATATAATGATAATGATTCATTTTAAACGTTTGTAATCATTTCACTTATGCAATATTACATCATCGTTGCAATAAAATATTATTATAACGTAATTAGACAAAATATTTGAAACAAACTAAAGTTAAGTCAACTTTCCCTTTAGTTAATATACATAAAAATATGTGTTGCTTAATTATTTTGCATTGAAGAATTTCGATACTTTTAAACAAATTTTTATAAGCAAAATGGAATTATTCTTGAAAATTATAAGTGAATAAACAAAATAAATTATTTGAAGTACAATAAAAGTTGGGTCATAAAGGAAAATCATTAAATTACGGTAATTATTTACACGTTATATGCTGTTATTATGTATGGGAAACGTTTGTTTTTGTACTTAATGAGACAAATTATATTTTATTAACAAAATGATAATTGGCAGTTAAGTAAATTATATATAATTTTTTTCAAAAATATTGTTTACTAATTGAAACTGAAGTTGTTGTAAATATAAATAATTGGTTTGTTTGAAATTGCTTTTGGATCAACAGGTAAATTTGTTAACTCTTTGGTTATGTTGTTGTTATTGTTGTTATTTGTTTTGATGCGAATGTTAAATGGTTGTATCGCCTTGAATGCGTTTTCTTCGACTCACCTGGTTTAGGTTGCATATCGGTCGAGTCGTTATCTCCTCGTTGTGCAGAATCCTTGGACATATTTGAACATGTCTTCGTATCTCCGAGCGTTGACAGATCAGCTGCGACGAAATTCTGGAGGTCTGCGCGCTCTTCGCCAGTTGAACTCGCGTACTCGTGCAGAGCTCCCGCATACTCGATGTTATTATCATTGTCGTCGTCCTCATCCGTAGCGCAAACGATGTGCTCTTCCTCTTCCTCCTGGTTACCTTCTTCGTCGAGCAGAAGGTTCTCCTCCTCTTCATCGAAGTTCATCTGACTCGTCTCGGACACGCTGAGCTTACTGAGCTTACGGTTGACCTCCTCCCGTCGGGCCTTGTACTCGTTGAGCTTGAAGCTGTTCAAAGGCAAGCTTTGAGCGTCCGTTGAAGATGGTCCATCGAGGACGCTTTCTTGGCTGTAGTAGCACTCGTTGATTTCAGTGGAGAATTCCACAGGAGTCAACGGATCAGTGAAATGCGTGTCGGAGGATTCGTTGCTTTGCGGAGACGTCACCGACGGCGTCTTCTCCTCGATCCAAAGCTCCTCCGGCGTCTTCACCGGAGTCTCGATCACCTCCACCAGTCCACCTGTTGCTCCCAGATCACCGTGGGGTTGAGCCTCCACCCCGATGTCCGTGAACTGGGGCTCCTCGTGTTTCCCCCTTTTGCCTCTGTTCTTCATGAAATTCTTCATCTTGGGCGTCTTTCCACCGGCCGCCTTGGCATCGCCCGCCATCGTGTTCCCCATGCTGCTGCTTCTATACTCGCGCACAAACAAACAAAACCAAAATTTATATCATCGTCCGAAGAAACACAACCTTTCACAACATCCAAACGCCCTTAATAGATAAACGCACAGCGAGTTGCCGATCTAAGCGCACCATTTTCCCCTCTCAACAAACCCAAAATGATTGTTCACATGCTTTCACTGTATTTATCCGTAACGATGGAAAGGCGAAAAAATCCGTGGCCTAGGACAGTGTGGGGTTGTGAAAGAATAATACGCGACTGCGCCGCGCCTTGCCACCCCCGCAACTGATCGATTTTCCGTCAAAAGCGCCCAAGTTTCGGAAAGACCATCACTACTTACTAAATACATGTAATTTAGATCAGAGAGATCAAAAGGTCATCGAAAACGCACCACTGTTTGAACAAGAACCGGACGCTTCTATCTACTTCCAGTGCGTTCTATTTTTAATGCTACGCTCACATATTATCTAATGTTGGGACTTGCAATCACTTCCACTTAAAATAAAAATCGTGTACGTAAAATCATTAAAGCAATGCTAATTATTGCAGCAACAACAACAACATCAAAACAATTTAAATTGGACGCGCGTCACTTTTCATTCCAGAAAACTTTCGAACTGTTACTCACAATTAAATTACATAATTGAGTTTTTAATTAACTTAAAATTTACCGACTTAATTAACGATACTCACAATTGTATTACTCAGCCAATACTGAATTAACAATCAGCATATGTTTTTTTTTTAAATTTAAAATTATTTTCGCGCGCCGCGCAAATAAAGTTGCCTATAACAAATTTCCGTTCAACTGAATTTTCTTTAAATTCAAAAACAAAATTACCTACAGATTTATAGTTTACTAATTAATTACTAATTAAGAAATATTCTTTGACAAGTTTTAAATTCATATAAAAATTACATACAATTTGCATTCATTCCATCAATGATTTTATACATAATTACTAAGCTTATAAACTTTCTTACTTCATAATTTATATTTGTTTAATTTACTTACCTGAAAAATAGTTTCATTTTGATGTAATTTTTTTTCTGCAATTTTACACTAACAATTTTGACTTAAGGTAACTGGATTTATAAATTTACACCAATCCAAATAATAAATTAGGCTAACGTCCTTAGTAACCAAATAAATAAATGTCAAATAAATAAATGTCAATTGGTACATGAATTAACTAATATTACAGATTTCTGTAAAACAAATATTTTCTGTATAATCGTAATAAATTATATAACTATTTTGTTAAATAATTTTATACAGAATTGGAAAGTTTACAACATTATTATTTGGAAAATATTTTCATTTTGATGTATTTTTTGTTGTTACAATTTTACAGTAACAATTGAGACTTAAGGCAACTTGATTTATAATTACACCAATTCGAAATAATAAATTATATAGAACCACATCAATATGTGAATACTCACTAAATTATGAAAATACTGCATCTTTTAAATACATTCCATCTATTATAGTTTACGAGAAAATCACCAATTTCTGAATACACTTCTTTTTCGGGCGTTAATTTTTCATTTTTTCAACGCGAATTACAGCCAAATAGATGAATCCTCAGCAATGTATGAATACTCGCTATATTCCCCAAACATTCAGTTTTCATTTACATCTTTTGGATACATTCAATTTATTATAGTTTACGAGAAAAACACTAAATTGTGAAGACACTGCTTTTTCGAACTTTCATTTTCCATTTTTTCAACCCGAATTACAGACAAATAGATTAATTCTCTGCAATGTATGTATACTTGCTATATTCCCCAAACATTCAACATTCATATTCATCTTTTGGATATATTCAATCTATTATAGTTTCCGAAAAAATCACTATCTTATGAAAACACTTCTTTTCCAAGCGTTAATTTTTTCATCTTTAAATTTAAAGACAAATGAATGAAATCACAGAAATGTATGAATACTGCCTGCATTTCATAAATATTCAACTTTTATACACATATTTTGGATACAATCAATCTATTATAGTTTCCGAAAAAAATACTAAAATGTGAAAATTTTGTTTTGTGTTTTTATTTGATTCTATATTTAAAGGCAATTATCTATATAAAGATGAAATTAAAAGTAAATTTACAGCCAAAAGTATTATTTACAGCCAAATAGATGAATTCTGAAGAATGTATGATTACTCGCTACATTCCCCAAACATCCTGATTTCATAATCACTAAATTGTGAAAACAATGCTTTTTCGAGCGTTAATTTTCCATTTTTTCAACGCGAATTATAGCCAAATAGATGAATCCTCAGCAATGTCTGAATACTCGCTACATTCTCCACATATCCTGATTTTATATGCATCTTTTGAATACATTCAATCTGTTATAGTTTCCGAGAAAATCACTAAATTGTGAAAACACTTCTTTTTCGAACGTTAATTTTCTATTTTTTCAACGCGAATTACAGCCAAATAGATGAATCCTGAACAATGTATGAATACTCGCTACATTCCCCAAACATCCTGATTTCATATGCATCTTTTGAATACATTCAATCTATTATAGTTTCCGAGAAAATCACTAAATTGTGAAAACACATCTACTCCAAGCGTTATTTTTTCAACTTTAAATTACAGACAAATGAATAAAACCACAGAAATGTACGAATACTCCCTGCATTTCCTAAATATTCAACTTTCATATACATCTTTTAGATATAATTAATTTATTATAATATCCGAAAAAAATACTAAAATGTGAAAATATTAATTAAATTTAATTAAAATTAAAAGTAAATTTATTATTTTAAAGAAGATTAGAAGATATTAGAAGATTGAACATAAATATTGATCAATTATATAAAATTATGTGAAAAGACATTATCTATTTTATGTAATAAATGCAATAAATTATTATTGATTGATTCTGACAATCGTACATTGTAAAACTCGTTCAATTATTCAATAGATCCGTTAATTGAATATAGTGCTTCCAACTTGAATTACGTTTGTTTTGTGTCCGCAATTATAAAATTACAATTCGAGACCCGAAAGTAATTGCAATTAAATAAATAAATGCACATCGCGATTGTTTTTGCGTTGTGCGAAACGCAATAATAAATACGAAATCTCGTCTCATTTCACGTTTTGCTCAATAATATTATTATTAATTTTCTTTTTCGGTCCGCAACAATAAACACAATAAATAATAACACACGTTAATTATTAGCATATGAATATTGTTATTATTCGCAATCGACGACGCGATTAATAAATTAATTAAAATCCACATGGAATTTCATAAACGAAGATAATTGAAAGCATTTAGTTTCGTATATATAAATTAATTAATTTATGATGTTTTTTTTTGTGTTCATATTTCGCAGCATGAAAAGAATTAAAAGAAATAAAAAGTTTCATTGTTAAGTTTTCATTTTGCGGGGTAATTGTGGAATTGCTTCGATACAAATTTTAATTAAAAACCGCAAAAAAAACCGTTTTTTAGTTCTCATTTAATTTAGTGTATTTGCTCTCTTTCGTTCTCTATAACTATGTATGTCTCTATTATTCAAGTGTTCTTGTAACGCTGAGAGCTTTATGGATGTTTGCTGCAAACGTTGAACAAAAGACACATAATGCTATTGAATGTGTGCAACGTAGTCTAAATTTTGCAATGCTTTGTCGGAATTGTCTATTTGTTTGGTAATTCCGTTACACAGGATATTACGTGTAACGGACCCGGCGCATCCGCCGATGTTGTATTAGTTTCTGGATTAGCTCGGACGTTTATTCGGTTTGTGCTTTAACGGACCGATGTTTATTCAGATACACATCCTAACTGATCATTATTTACTCAGAGAATGAATCTTTACATATTTAAACAATAATTACACATTTTTTAACCGAAAATCTCCATAGTCAAACATTAATATTAAACAAATTTAATACTACTTCTATTAGTAAAGATTTTTTGCTCTGAGTAAATTGAATTTCATTTATCCATTAATTAAAAAAAAAACATATTTATTTGTCCACTTAAATAATAGAATATTCTCATTAAAGACAAAATAATCAATAAAATGTAGTATTTTTCATTTTTTTTATTTGATTTTTTTTTGAAAAATTTATTTCATTATTACATACTTATTAGTAGATTTTCTTTTAAATTAGATATTACTATGGTTATAAAGTACACTTTATAATTGTAACAAATTCAATAAATAATATATAGTATTGATGTTTTTTGTTATACAATTATGTTTAAAAAAAAACTGTATTTATTACAAATTTTCTTTACTTACATCATAGAATTCGCCAGGTTATGACTTAATAAGGGGAAAACTATTGAAAGAACTCACATTGAAAGAAATTATTTTGATCACTCGAATATTTAATACTATACTATGTACAGGTTACTAAACCAGGAAAACTTGTCGAAGAAATCAAGTCGTACAAACCCATAAGTCTTCTACCGATATTATCAAAAGTTTTCGAAAAACTTCTTGCTAACTGATTGCAACCTATTATAGCGTCAAATAAGCTGATACCAGATACCATCAGATTGGATTTCGTTGCAAACATGGCACAATAGTGCAAGTAAACGGATTAGTAAATATCATCTACCAAGACCTGGAAAGTAAAAGATACTGCTCGGCTGCCTTTTTAGACATAACGCAAGCTTTTGACAAAGTTTGGCATCACGGACTACAATACAAAATAAAAGGTTCCAATCAAAATGCATAAGAAAAATTATTAGGGCTCCATGGTTCGTCAGGAATAAACAAATACACGAAGATCTTCATATAGATATGGTCGAGGATACAATAGCAACATTTAGTAGTAGATACCAAGAAAGACTGGAATCACATACTAATGTTCTGGCTATTGGCCTATTCGACAACAGTGAAATCACAAACAGGCTGAAGCGTTGCATACCACTAGATTTAGTATATAGATTTAAGTAATTATTAATGTTTAAATCATCATAATGGTAACTATCCACTATGTCAACCGCAATGTTAAATTTACTCAATGTTCACATTGATCTGCTACAATTGTGAGATTTCTATTTTGTTATGAAATTAGTTTACAATGTTCAAAAATGTATTACAATATATTTCATAGTAATTTTTTTTGTAACTTATATATCAGTAGAGTTTTAATTTACACTTTTAGAATATAAAAAGTTCAAACAATAATACTAATTGGTATTCATGTATTTTTCTAATTGTTTGCGATTCCACTATTTCATTTTACTGTGAATTTGCTACTATCCTTGACATTGTCATTGTCCATCGACTTGGCTGAAGGTCCATATGCTGAACCTCATTCATTTCACTGTCCATCTGTGATGAACGATTGCCCTATTGCTGCAAGCACCAAGAGGGCTCATAAAGGGCCTGGCTTTTGATCAGGATTTGAACCTATGACCATTGGCACGTGGGT